ATTTTTTGCAATTTCCGGCCGTTCCGCTGCGATTCCCCGCCATTTCGCGTTGATGTTTTGTTAATTAGGTGTTAATTAGGTGTTAATTAGCGTTAATTATCGTTAATTATTTCAGGGCCCCCTCGGTCAAGCGCCGTCTGTGCCGTCGCTGCTGCTCCGTGGTGGCTCCGGGCCGGGGGGGAGGGGTCCGGCTCAGAGGTCAGGGCGGATTTTGGGGAGAATTTGGGCGATTTTGGGGTTTTTGGGGTGGATTTTTGGGATGAATAATTTGGGTTTCGGGGTGGATTTTTGGGATGAATAATTTGGATTTTGGGGTGAATATTGGTGTTAATAATTTGGATTTTGGGGAAGATTTTTAGGGTGAATAATTTAGATTTTGGGGTGAATTTTTGGGGTGAATAATGTGGGTTTTGGGGTGGATTTTTGGGGGGAATAATTTGGGTTTTGGGGTGGATTTTTGGGGGGAATAATTTGGATTTTGGGTGGATTTTTGGGGTGAATAATTTGGATTTTGGGTGGATTTTTGGGGGGAATAATTTGGATTTTGGGGTGGATTTTAGGGTGAATAATTTGGCTTTTGGGGTGGATTTTTGGGGTGAATAATTTGGATTTTGGGGTGGATTTTTGGGTGAATAATTTGGGTTTTAGGGTGGGGTTTTGGGGTGAATAATTTGGGTTTTGGGGTGAATTTTGGGGTGAATAATGTGGATTTCAGGGTGGATTTTTGGGGTGAATAATGTGGGTTTTGGGGTGGATTTTTGGGGGGAATAATTTGGATTTTGGGGTGGGATTTTAGGGTGAATAATTTGGATTTTGGGGTGGATTTTTGGGGTGACTAATGTGGATTTTGGGGTGGATTTTTGGGGTGAATAATTTGGATTTTGGGATGGATTTTGAGGTTAATAATTTGGATTTTGGGGTGGATTTTAGGGGTGAATAATGTGGGTTTTGGGGTGGATTTTGGGGCTTCTCGGGGCGGATTTGGGTTTTTTCAGGCTGGATTTGGGGGATTTGGGGATGGATTTGGGGTGGATTTGGGATTTGGGATTTTTTTTTTAATGAATTTGGGGTGGATTTGGAGTTTTTGGGGTGGATGTGAGGATTTTTTTGGGATGAGTTTGGGGGCGAATTTGGGATTTTTTTGAGCTGAATTTGGGGCTTTTGGGAGGGATTTCGGGGCAGTTTTTTTTTTTAATTTCTGGATAATTTTGGGGGCGTGTCCGCGCCTGACCCCGCCCCTTGCCCCGCCCCCCAGGGCGTGGCCAGCCCCGCCTCATCCTGCGCTGCCTCACCTGCGGCCGCGGGCGGCGCTACCTGTGCCCACCTGAGCCACGCCCACCCGAGCCACGCCCACCCGGACAGGACCAGGACACGCCCACGGGTCAGTGGGGGCGGGGCCTGGGAGGGGGGAAAGGGGGCGGAGTTAAACCCGAATAAGGAAAAGTGGGTGTGGCTTTAAATGGGGCGGGGCAATCCCAAATATGGCAGAGGGGTGGGCGGGGCCAAGGAAGGGGTGGGGTAAAATCCAAATAAGATGTGGGCGTGGCAAAGCAAATAAGGAAATGTGGGCGGGGTTAAGTCAAAAACGAGGGATGTGGGCGTGGCAAAACCCAAATAAGGAAAGGTGGGCGGGGTTAAATACAAAACAAGAAAGATGGGCGGGGCTAAATCCATCTAAGGGAATGTGGGCGGGGTTAAACCCAAATAAGGGGATGGGGGCGGGGTTAAATCCAAACAAGGGATAGTGGGCGGGGTCAAATCCAAACAAGGGATAGTGGGCGGGGTCAAATCAAATAAGGTTTTTTGTGGGCGTGGCTACGGAGCAAAACCCATATAAGGGGAAAAGGGGCGTGGCCTAACAATGACATCACTCCCCGCAGGCCCCGCGCTCTGATTGGCTCCGCCCTCCCCTGCACCAGCCAATCACCTGTGCAGAAATAAACCTCCCTTTATTCCATATATGGTGGCGGCACGATCCGCGCGCTCCGATTGGTCGGTTTCCCGGAAGGGGGGCGGGGCTCAGCACTCGTCCTCGCCCAGCAGAGCGAAGGGGTTGGGGGCGGGGCTGGGAGGGGGCGTGGCCTGGTCTGACCCCTCCCCCTCCTCGGAGCTGGAGGCGTCGCCGGGTGGGGGAGGGGGGGAAGCCCCTCCCCCTGTCATGGCCGCCATGGCCGCGGTGTCGGGGTGGTGCTCCCAAAAATCTGGGGGGG